GTAAATGGCTATCAGACGCAATTAGCATCATCGCGCAATTAAGGAAAGTGTGATGAAGCGTTCCTGGGAACCGTATTTGCTGTTCACACACAAATGAGAAAATCCCAGACATAACCAAGTAATGATGCCCTGCACATGCTCAGTACAGCCGCGGCTGTCACTTGCCGCGGCTGTCAAACACACCCCTTCCCAAGCCAGCTGTCCCCCAAACCCCTTCCCAAGCTGGCACAGGCTCCGCGCTCCAAGCAGAAGTCCTCAGAGAGGTGGATCTCTGAGGACTTCTGCTCGGAGCCCAGGCCCCGCGCAGGCTTGAGAAGGGGTGTGTGTGTGACAGCCGGCTGTCACCCAAACCCCTTCCCAAGCCGGCACAGCGTAGGCGGGGGCGGGGAAATGATCCACAATACGTATTGCCTGTTCATACTCATATCGGACTTACGGCAAAAGCGAAATGATTCCCTAGTTTTTTTGTGGGGTTTTTTTCGGGCTGTGTGGCCATGTTCTGAAAGAGTTTCTTTCTGACGTTTCGCCAGCATCTGTGGCTAGCATCTTCAGAGAAAGATCCATTTGTTATCAAGAGCATCTTTTCTCTGAAGATGCTAGCCACAGATGCTGGCGAAACGTCAGAAAGAAACTCTTTCAGAACATGGCCACACAGCCCGAAAAAACCCACAAAAAAAACTATGGATGCCGGCCATGAAAGCCTACGACTTCACATTGGAAATGATTCCCGTCGTGCACTTGTACTTCCCGAAGAAACCAAAATTCAAAAGATCTCGATTCTTTCCAGATTCTGTTGGGGTTTTGTGCAACGTCATGTGAACACACGGAAAAATAATACATATTAGGTCGGGATTTCATTTGGATTCTGTCTCCTTTGGACCCTGTGTGATAAGGTCCTTAGGGAGCTTGGTACATTTAGCCTGGAGACGAGAAGGTTAAGAGTTGACATGATAGCCCTGTTTAAGTATTTGAAGGGGTGTATATTGTATATAGTATATTGAGGAGGGAGCAAGCTTGTTTTCTGCTGCTCCAGAGAATAGGACACAATGGAGCTTCAATGGATTCAAACTACTGGGAAAGAGATTCCACCTCAACTTTAGGAGGAATTTACTGACAGTAAGAGCTGTTTGACAGTGGAAGACATTCCCTTGGAGGGTAGTGGAGTCTCCTTCTTAGGAGGTTTTTAAACAGAGGCTGGATAGCCATCTGTCAGGGATGTTTTGATTCTTGTAGTCTCTTCCAACTCTATGAGTCCGTGATTCTAAGTTTTCCTACTTTGGAAAAATTTCACCTTTTCTCACCAGAAATATATGGGTCAAGCAATTTTTCCACATTTTATTTATTTACATGCCACCTTTCTCCCAAGTCAAAGAGACACAAAGCAGCTTCCAGCATTTTAAAACATCAATAGTACACAGAAAAGTATGCCATATTAAGTTATAGCTTAGTTTAAGATGTCCTTTACAAAAGTTCAACACAATATGTACATTAATGGAAAGATTGGCACATTTTAGGTCCCAACGAGTCGTTCTTCAGAGTCTGTGCAAATCAAATGTCTTGGACTTTCAGCAGACAAATAGAGAGAGCTCCAAGTTCTATATTTTTTATTGATCCATTTGATACCAAAGTATATTTTGTAGGTGCCATTTGGTTTGAACATTTGATTATTTCCAGGCCCAATATTTGAGACTAGGGAAATTAAACACAGCACCAGAATTTGTCAGTATCTTAACACAATGACTTAGGTTGGTATAATAACAACAATGATTAATAATAATATTTTCGTATTCTCTTCTCCCCAAGGCTCAAGCCAAGGTACAACATAGATTTACACACATAGACTAAAACATTAAACACATTAAAGTAATCCAAATATAAAATTAAAAAATATACCAATTTAAAATTATATCAGTTCATAAAATTAATTGTTTAAAATTGACTGGGTAGGCCTCCTGGAAGAGATAAGTCTTTTATTATTCCTTTAAATTTAGACAGCAGATTTAGCTGTTGAATCTCTCCACATTCTTGGGGTGGCTGAAGAAAAATATCTTCCGTCTGACTGGAGAAGACCTGAAGAATATGGGGCAGATTATATGGGAGGAAGAGATCCCATAGCTAACCTGGACCAAAACCATGTAGGACTTTAAAGATAACAACCAACAATTTGTACTCTGCTGGGAAACTAACTAGCAGCCAGTGGAATGATTTTAATATTGATATGAGTCCTAGATGTACTCATATCAATCTAGTTGCTGCATTTTGAACTACAGTTCCCCCTCCCCCTTGTATCCATGAATCCCTTATCCATGGATTCAATCATCCACAGTTTGAAAATATTTTGAAAATACATAAATGCCAAAAAGGAAGCCTTGATTTTGCCATTTTATATAAGGGATGCCATAATGCCATTGTATTTAATTGGACTTTAGCATCCATGGATTTTGGTATCCACAGGGGGTCCTGGAACCAAACCCAAATGGATACCAAGGGCCCATGGTAACGGAAGTTTCCAAACTTGGTACAAAGGTAGTCCAATGTACAGCACATTCCAAAAGTCCAACCTTGAACAGAGAAATACAGGAGGGGGGAAGAGGGGCTTTGGAGCACCTCCCACTATGGCCTAGACTGTGGAACTGAAAATCCCATCATCCCTTTCTTCTGGCCATTCTCTGCTGGGCAAGAAGAGTTGGACCTTCTAAACCTTGAGTGCATCTACACTGTACAAATACTGCAATTCATCACCTCTTTAATGTCCAAGGCTCCATCCTACAGACTCCTGGGATTTGTACTATGGTGAGATACCAGCACTCTTTGGCAGAAAAGGCTAAAGACTTTATAAAATATGTTGCAACATGTCGCCCTCCCATCCTCTACTGTTTTAATTTTTAGAAAGGATCAGGCTACTGCTATCCAAGACTGTATTTCCTTAATAAATTTCCTCCTGTTGAAGATTCTAAACTTATTTTTCTGCCTGCATTTTTTTTTTGGCTTCTTTTAAACTCATGAGCCTAAATTTGGCCCCTTTGCTGTTTCTGGAGTAAAGGCTCTAGCAGGCTTTCCAGTCCAATAATCAACTCTCAACATCCATCCCCTCCAACACAGTTTATATTTTAGGGGAAGCTATAGACAAGAGGGAGAGCCAGCATGGTCTAGTGGTTTGAATCCTGGACTACAACTCTGGCAACCAGGGTTCAATTCCCTGTTCAGCCACGGGAACCCGCTGGGTGACCTTGGACGAGTCACACACTCTCAGCATCAGAAAACCTCATTATGGTTTTGCCTTAGGGTCATCATAAGTCAGAAATGATTTGAAGGCAAACAACAACAAAACAGGCAGAGTCAGCTTGGTGTAATGGACTGAGCATAGCACTAAAACTTTGGAAATCAGGGTCTGATTCCCCACTTGGCAATGGAAACCCACTGGATGACTTTGAGCAAGTCACATACACTTGGCCTCAGAAAACCCCATGATGGAGTCACCTCATGGTTGGGAACAACTTAAAGACACACCACAATGACAACAGCTAATAGACTAGAGAGGCATCTCCACTCAGTCACCAGAGGAGCATCTCCGCTCACCCACCACCCATGCCAAAGCCCCCCAGGTCTCCTTGGATGTCCTATAAAGGACAAGAGGCCTTCACCCAGACCCTCATCCCCTTCTTTCTCCATGGCCACCCTCTCCCCCACAATAGGCTCCTCCCTTTCCCATATCCCTCCAGCCCCCAACAGGATTGAGAATGTGAAAGATCTCCCCACAACACAGCTGAAGCTCCTTCTTTGTGGTGATGGATCTGCTGCAGAGGCTAAGGAGGAGAACAGCAAAACAACTAGAGTATAGGCCAAATTATGGACAACTTTTTTTTAAAGGATTGAGAATTATTTTTGTTTTATATGAAGAAGAAAGGAAGGGAGGGTATGGCTGAGGACATTGAGCCCTAATGCAATTTTTTTAATAATTTAGGGATGAAATTAGATTAAAATACCATTCATGAGAAATTATATTAACATTAATCTCTTAAGGCTTGGGAAGTGGGAAGGCAATTATAGTTTGTGTTAGCTATGTTTAGTGAAATTATTATTATGAGCAAATAGTTATGGCTTTGTATGATGGGTGATGTGGGGTGTGGAAGTAGTTTAGGGAGTTGGGTTAAGTTTTTAGTTTAGGTTATGTGATCGATGTTTGAAATCCATCTTGCCTTCCATTCACCTTGCTACCCCAAAAGAGTGGAGAGCATACCAAACCATCCACTGAACCTTTCCTTGTCTTTGTGTAATGCCAGGTCGGTTAAAAATAAGACCCACATCATTCATGACTGATGGATGAAGTAGCTGACCTGGCGTGTTTTACAGAGACCTGGTTGGGAGATGACAGCTCTGTAACTTGGGCTCAGGCCCTACCAGCCAGATACTCCGTCTATGAGCGGGTAAGGGGATGTGGGTGAGGGGGGGAGTGGCCATGGTCCACAAAAGTAATCTGACTTTGGCCAGGATACCTGTCCAGAAAACACTCCACATTGAGTGTATTTACCTAAGCTGAAAGACTAGGGACAGTCTGGGGATTCTGTTAGTATACAGTCCAACCTGTTGTCTAACAGATTCCTTAGCCGAGCTGACACAACTGGTCTCAGAGCTGGTGTTGGGAGTCACCTAAGTTTTTAGTCCTGGGTGACCTTAACATTACACTTGAGGCTGGTGCAGCTCGGCCTAACCCAATTAGCCTCTGGGCCCACACATTGTGCAGGACATACCCTCTTTGGAACAGGCATATCCATGGACAGAAGTAGTATCTCTGCATTGTCATGGACAAATCACTTCCTGGTCAAGGTTGGACTGAAGGCCACTATTCCCCCTGTTAGGGGTGGTGGACCCATTAGGTCTGCCCTTGAAGGCTGATGGAACCCATTAGGTTCCAGGAAGCCCTACAGAGTTTAATGGTTGGTAATGCCAGCAACCATTGTCAAAGCTTTGGGTAATACCTGGAACAACAATCTTACCAGGGCTATAGACACTATTGCTCCCAAGCGTCCTTTCCAACCTGCTTCAAACCGCAAGCCTTGGTATATGGAAGATCTTAGGAGAATGAAGGGCTGGATAACATCTAGAACGCCGCTTGCGAAAAACTCGCCTCTTATCTGACAAGACATGTCATAGGGATTTTCTTGAATCCTATGGAGTGGCAATGGATGTAGCTAAGAAGTCTTTCTATTCTGCATGTATTGCGTCTGTGAAGTCTCATCCAGCAGAGCTGTTCAGGGTGGTAAGGGATCTAATGCAAATGCCCCCCACCCAGAACCCTTTACTAGAACCAACTAAAGCCTGTTGTGACACTTTAAATAAATATTTGCAGACCTGCGGCATGATGGCTCCGAAGGAGGACGCAGCTATGAAGCGTTAGTGAACAATGAACTCAGATACCATGAAAAATGTGTAAAAATAAGAGGTTTACCAGAAAAACTAAATGAAGACCTTGTTACTAGAATAATGCCCTATCTGGCAAGCTTTATTGGATTTTCAAAAGAAGGACTGGAACTTGAAATTGACAAAATTTTTAGAGTGAACTCATCACAAGCAAAGGAACGGAAGATACCACGTGATGTAGTAATTTGTTTTGCTAGAACTAGAATAAGAGACGCGGCAGCACTGGCAGCGAGGCCGCAGGAAGGCTGGGTGGAGGCCAAGAGCCCACCCAAGGTAACATCACTCCCAGTGGTGACAGCGGCGGTGAAACAGCTGTGAGGCTGGGTAAGGGCTTAAAACGCCCACCCATAGAACACCTCCTCCAGCAGCGCAGCGATGCAGCAGCACCAGCAGGGGGGCCACAGGAAGGCTGGGCAGAGGCCAAGACCCAAGGTAACATCACTCCCAGCGGTAGCATGGCAGTGGCAGCGCAACAGCAGCGGTGAAACAGCTGTGAGGCTGGGCAAAGGCTTAAAATGCCCACCATAGAAACCTCCTCCAGCAGCACGGCAATGTGGCAGTGGGGCTGCAGGAAGGCTGGACAGAGATCAAGAGCCCACCCAAAGTAACATCACTCCCAGTGGCGGCGGCGAAACAGCTGTGAGGCTGGGCAAGGGCTTAAAACACCTGCCCGTAGAACACCTCCTCCAGCAGCGCGGTGACACAGCAGCAGCGATAGTGATTCTCAGGCACGCCCAAGACCATTTCCTCCCAAACTCAGTGGCACCTGTGGCGGTGCGGCTTCTGGAGCCCACTGGGACTATTTAAGACAGCAGGAACTCCAGCCTAGAGACGCAGCAGCATTAGCAGGGAAGCGGAGCCCAAGAAGATCACCATTTGGCCCTAGCCACGCTTGAGACCACCTTCTCCCAAATTCAGTATTAATGATGATGTTATGGACTGGATTGAGTTCTGCTGTTCTATTAAGCTACCAGTTCTTACTTCATCTCACTTGCCACGGAAGTTACGTTAAAGGGCTGAGGTTAGCTATAGCCCTAGTTACCTTATTTTCTCAGTGGCTTTAATCTCTCCCTGTCTGCCTGAGGTCAGGAATGAGGCAGGGGCGGCTATTGGAGTTGTGCTGGGGAATGGGAGGTACGGCTGGAACAGATTGAACAAATGTTACAAAAGAAGATGGGATCGCTGTTTAAAAACTATCCCGCCTTCAGTTCCTTCCGTTTCCCAGAATGGATTGGAGAGCAGACCAACCATCCCACAGAACCTCACTCTGCTCCTTTGCAATGCTAGGTCAGTTAAAAATAAAATGCACATCATCTACGATCTCCTCTTAGATGAGGATGCTGACCTGGCTTGCTTTACAGAGACCTGGCTGGGAGAGGATAGCGCGGTTACTTGGGCACAGGCCCTCCTGGCTGGGTACTCTGTCAGTGAGCAGGTGAGGGGAAGTGAGGGGAAGAGGGGAAGTGAGGGGGGTGGAGTGGCTCTGGTTTATAAGAACAACCTGACTCTGACCAGGATATCTGTAGGGAACACAGTCCACTTTGAGTGTATGTACCTTAGCCTGAGGACCAGAGGTAGTCTGGGGATTCTGCTAGTATACTGACCACCCCGTTGTCTAGCAGATTCCTTAACCAAGCTGACACAACTGGTCTCAGAGCTGCTGTTGGGAGTCTCCCAGACTTTTAGTTTTGGGAGACTTCAACATTCCGCTCAAGACCAGTTTAACAGGTGTGGCTCGGGAGTTCATGGAAACCATGACTAACATGGGCCTATCCCAATTGGTCGTTGGGCCCACACATTGTGTAGGTCATACATTCAATGCGGTCTTTAGTACGGAACAGGAATATCCGTGGGTGGAGGTTATTTGGACCTCCGCCTTGTCATGGATGGATCATTTCCTGGTCAAGACGAAACTGAGAGCCTTGATCCGCCCCACCGGGGGTGGTGGACCCATTAGAATGATCCACCCTCGAAGGCTGATGGAACCAATTGGATTCCAGAAAGCCTTGGTGGGTTTGATGGTTGGAAATGCCAGCGACCCTGTCAAGGCTTTGGTCAATACGTGGAACATCTATCTGACCAAGGCTATAGACACGATCACTCCTAAGTGTCCTTGCCATCCCACTCTAAACCGTAAGCCCTGGTATATACTGGAGCTTAGAAAAATGAAGCGGGTTGGACAACGACTAGAGTGCGACTGGCAGAAGACTCAGCTTCTATCCAACAGAACTTGCCATAGGAACTATCTTTGGTCCTATTGGGAGGCAATACGTGCAGCGCAGAGATCCTTCTCCTCTGCATGCATTGCATCTGCAGAGTCCCATCCAGCAGAGCTGTTTAGGGCGGTGAGGGAGCTGAAGCAGGTATCCCCTGTGCCAAATCCCTTACTTAACCCGACATTGGCCTACTGTAATGCATTTAACAACTTCTTTACAGATAAAATTTCTCAGATGAGAGCCGACATAGATGCCAGGGTTTCAACAGAAATCATAGACGAGGTGCCCAGCGACTCTGGCGATGTAATTATACTGGATCAACTGCAATATGTGAGTACCGATGACGTGGACAAGCTCCTTGGTAGGGTGCAGAAAACAACCTGCCCTCTCGACCCTTGCCCATCATGGCTGGCTGTCCAGGGAGGGGATGCATTGAGGAGGTTCCTTACAGACATCATCAATGCATCCTTCAGGGAAGGACATATTCCATCACGTTTGAAAAAACTTTCCCTAGACTTCCGGTTGGGAACGGAGAACTGACCAGACGGGCCACGTTTTCGGTCCGTGTTACTC